AAAGTGTAATGCGCGTAGGATTTTGGTGGGGAAACCAGAAGGAGAGAGAAAACTAATAAGACCTAAACGTAAGTGGGAGGATGATATTAAAAACTGTCTTAGAGAAAGAGGATGGAGTGAGATGGGTTGGATTGATCTAGGGACCAACGGATGGCTCTTGTGCCCATGGAAATGCCCATTCGGGTTCCATAAAATGTTGGGAAATTCTAGAGTAGCTGAGCGACTGGCGGCTTCTCGAGAAGAACCGAACTCCATGGAGTTAGTTAGATAGTTATGAGAGAAAGGCTTGGTGTCTTACGCCAGGGTAAGGACATTGATTGACTTATTGATTGATTGTGTTTGAAAAAAAAGGTCATGAGGAGAATATTTATACTTGAATAGAAAAGATGTAACAGGTAGATCATGAAATTTCTATAATGGGGAATTTTTACTCTTCACCTAAAATTGAATTATTAAGGCTACGAAATCAAGAAGGATGAGCTGGATAAATAGAACGCATGAGGAAACTGGAATTAATATAGCCTAACATTTTAGCTGAAAAAAATAATGGAAGACATCAAATCTTAAATCTAGGCTTAGATGGAAGGGTACAAGAGACACCTGAACGAGGTGGCGTGTGAAGGAGCGAGCTTGACTCAACTGAGGCAGGGGCCGAGTCAATGGTGGACTCTTAGGAACACTATTGAAGAGTCGGGTACTATGAAAAGCGTGAATATTATTGATAACTTAACAACTATCAGCTCCTCGAGACTGACTCTGCCAACGTACAGTACTTATTCATGTACTACTAAACCGATACTTGTATGCTCGGTGGGTTAGCATGAAGGTACGATGCGGGATTTGTGCAACAATACACAAACACTGTGAAGCTGTAGGCTCGGCCTTTGGATTCTGTCCGTACGTAACCACAGGGCCAGATGCTATTGCAAAGAACCACACACGCTGAGGAAGGACTTACACATACGTACGACTTCAAACCGCAAACATTATTAAGCGGAGGTTAAGGATCCTTCACTGAGTACCTCAGCTACCTGTCTAACGGATAGCACATTTAGTTCGTGCTGTGAATTTCCAACAGTAAGTCCACCAGATATCTTAAACTGCAACTCATAACTGCATAGAATTCTTCAAAAACCCCAAGTAGACTAAAATAACTCAAACAAGTTACAATAAATAATTTGTCTACCTTAATTGAAATCGAATAATTTTGCGTTTTTAAACAGTAGTCAGATGAAATTTTAAGCCTTTTCATGTGAGTAAAATTTTCTAATGATTTGTTGGAGTTCGGTAAATGAGGATTTTGACTTCAAACTATTATATTACTCTGTTATCCTATTCTGTTAAATGTATTTATTTTGCTTGAATGAAATTTCATTTCTATAATTCTTATTTGAATGAAGAAATTCAGACGTGACTTGCTTTAATAATCTGCCTATATGATAATAACACTATTTTCCATTCTCTTACATTAACGTTTCCTTCGAGAATAGGAGCAAGAATTTTAGAAAATGCTGTACGTCTCTGAAATTGTGAAGAATATGGTTTCTTAGAAAATAATATTTGGTTATTTCTGACGTATAGTTCGAAAGGTGCCAATAATTGAATTGGTGGCGTTATTTAGCCCCTTTACCCTACAGGAAAATATTTTCTGAACCGTTGGATACTTGCATGGTGTCCTTCACGCAAGTAGATATCTGGACTTTGCTTCTGGTTAGTCTCACAAGCTTCAAGGCATTCGCTGCTAATTTTTAGTACACTTACAGACGGGGAGTGTCACTTGAGAATTATTTTGCATAGTCCCGTACATGTCCATCTTACGTAGAATGGAGAAGAAAGTGCTGTTCACACATTTCCTTGAAACGATATAGATAAAAATACAAATTTCTTCAAGTTTTGTTAAAATCCTCAAGCTTTCAGACACGTGAATGCTGTACTAACGTCAGCAAACCGCAGAACATTAGAGCATTTCCTTGTAAACAGCAACATAACAAAGAACAGTCTAGGGAAAACACATAATACTTATGTCAAATTTAAGTTAAATTATTTTAACAAGGATCCAACTTGACTCTTCAGAAGCTTTTAAACTTCCAATTCTTACGCGCAATCAACTGTTAAAGCAAAAAATGCAGCAATTTAATGAAAACTGATGATAGCCCCAAATGGCGAAAACACATCGTAATTAATCGTGGATTAAATAGTGTTTAACCAACAATCCATGAATTATTGCATTTATGAAACTTTATTACGTAAAAAAGGTAAAGCTGTCCCTGTAAGAGGCCATGGAGACCCATTGGGTTGTGAGACGTTGAGGCTCCCATATTTTCTAGATAATCGGCTCATAGATGGCGGTGATGTCATCCTTACGCGCCGGCTACACTTTACACCCCAGGAAGAATCCTGGTACTCATTTCTGTCTGAGACTTAGTCGAACCCAGGGCCATAGTGCGGCTGGAAGAATTAGGTCAAAGAAAAATCCAGTGATCTCATCGGGAAGCGAACCAGCTACCTACCGGTTTGCAGTATAATACCTCAATCAATTACGCTACCTGTTACATATATATTAATTGCGGATATCTTGGAAACCCGAAGGTATAATTATTTGCAATGAGAAAGTTCTAATATCTTCTCAGCGACAATTCCTCCTTCAGTTGTTACACACTGGGCCCTCTGGCCTATTCAAATTTGAAATTAGCTCAGGAACTTGGAGCTTTTTAGACATTTGGTAGGACACCTTGGACTGGGCTTCGACAGATCACAAGATCCCATCCACTTATACAGGGAAGCGCAGGAAGGGAAACAAAGCGCATAAGAGGCGGTTTCAAACCCACGACTACGCTTTTTTTAAATAATTTGCGGTCCCTGAGTCGGTTCACTGATATCTTAAGCTGAAATATTATAGAATTATTGTGGGCGCCATAACGTATCTTCAAGCTATCCACTTCCTCTAAGTCCTGCAGGAATTACCATCTATAAAGAGGCCTATTCCTTCTTCAAAATTCTCCATTGAACAACCCTGCAATGTGCCTGTGGTGAGAATTTAATATTGAGAAATAAGCCATTTCGATATTGGCTACAATGATTACAAAATAAAACATTTCATAATTTTACAGACACTTTTCATTCCACACGTTTCCTACGGAAAAAATGTTATCAGGCGGACTTCTAGAACAGGCTGAGATATATGCTAACATGTCAGCTGCCACGAGCTTCACACTTTGCATGAGTCTACACGTGATCACTTGGCGGGTTTAGCTTTAACAGCTGTAAGCCTATATCATAGCTGGCGCACGAACTTAATCTGCGGATAGAAACTAGGTCCGACTGCACGTTTAAGCTAATTAAGATTGTCGCCGTTTAAATAATTTTAGTGTATTCTACTTCCTACGCAATTGCGGTGGTCCAAGACTTATCGCTACTGATTTGCGATCCGAAATGGCCTCGTTCGTATCTCGGTTAGCATACCGTCTACAATCTACTTCCTCATTGAGTTGAGCCCTTCTTGAGAAACCGCCAATTGTGCAGCTACTCAAGAACTTCCCAATACATTATGGAACCCGATGGTTCATAATTGTGTTCACAAGAGCCATGCACTAGCCCCTATCCTGAGCCGGAAAGATCCAATCCATACCACCCCATCCTATCTCTCTAAGATCCATTTTAATATCCCGTCTCTACTCACTTAAGTTATTTACCACATCTTCTTCGGTCCCCCCAGAAGAATGGCGGTAATGGAGCCCTGAAAATTTTCACGGCCGTTTCCCTCCCAACATTTTCATTGTCACAAATTGCTACGATTTTCTCGCGTCATTCGACCTCAGATAATAATTGCAGTTGAGAAGCCTACAAGAATCATCTAGAAAATGCAAAAATCATTTACCTCAATATTTTAATTAGATATATCATACTAATATCCATTTGGGCCTAAGGAATCTCGTAATAACGACTGTTATCGAAATATATTTCTAAAAATAACACAACTTTTTCCGTGAGCCTTTTGCTATTTTGTGTTGTTTCCGCTATTGTGATGAACAGTGCACCCCTTTCAGCTGAAATTTAAACAAAATATAAAAGTATCGACCCTGGTATGCTTTCGAAATTCCCTTGCTTCACCGTACTGCATTTCAACCATCCTATTATATTACAACCACATGGTTATCTCCATTAGTCACATGGTTCAGTTATCCAGGTAAGAGAAGTAGATCACTGCTCTTCTGAGCTCATCACTTGCTTAAAATCTTATTCCTTCACATTCGTGGAACAAACACAGAGCACAGGGGTCAGTAATCATTGTTTAGGCCTATAAGTGTTCAAGCAAGGTCTCCAAAACGTACTAATTAAATTTTAATACGCTATAATACGATAAAGAAGCCGTAGTTTCTTAATTAAATCGTTCTGAAGAAGGGAGCCAGAGTGGGATAAGCAGACATAGGAGGTTTTCCCTCTAAAATGACAGATGTTTGCACTCATGCACCCACCTAAGTAGGTCAGAAATTTGGGTCCTCTAAGCCAGTGTTTCTTAACCGCCGGGCCGCGCCCTGCAACCAAGCCCTGGTATCAATTATACCAGGCCCTCGTCTTATACAAAAAAGAATTTACCGGGCCGCGATCTCACAAAGGTTGAGAACCACTGCCCTAAACTGGTTGTTTTTCTCGTTGTCTCTGGTGCAGTGGCTGGATTACATGCGCAGAGACCTGTTTTAGATTTAAGTAACGGCAATAAAGCCTTCAAAACTACAGTCCCAAGTCTTGAAATCACGAACCTTCAAAATACATTGTATCGTGGGAACGAAAGTATTGATAAAATTAAAATACGCCCAACGGCAATGAAATCTTACAATGAAATTACTTTTGTATTTTTTAAACGTGAACATGCTAAGAACAATGAACATATTTATCTACTTAAACGGCAATACTAATTTCTGAAAGCTTACAGACAAGCCGCGCCATCTCTGGATATGTTACGTAGTGGTTCCTACGGCCGACTGCCCTGTACTGCTCACCTGGGGAACCTGCCAGCCCTGCAGCCGCAAAGGCCGCAGCTGCTGCCGCCGGTCCAGGAAACATGGCACCAGGGTAGTGTCCCACGAGGGTGGACGCGGCCCACGAGGTGGGCTGGTGATGTGGTGCGGGGTGGTGGTGTTGAAGGCCGGCCGAATACGCGGCCGCAGCCGCAGCGAGGGCAGAGAATGGAGTCGGTCTCACGGGAGTCACGACGCCGCCACCGGGGCCATGACCGCCCGCGAACATAAACCTTGCCGATAACACATCCGCCGGACTGCCACTCAACCTGCCACCCGGTTGTAAAGGCGTCGGTATGCTGACAGGGGAATTAGAGTCCCTGAGAACTTCGACGTCAACAGCACTTCCCTGTTCGGACTCGTCGTCATTCAGTTCTTCGTCCGAAGACGTAAGGGGTTGTTCTGACTGGTAAAGGGTAGACGATTCTAGCGGTGGCGATTGTGACGAAAGGAAGGCAGGGGACGACCTGTGACGAGATGTCGGCCGTGTGTCAGCTAACAGAGCCGCTACACTAAAACTGATGTGGCTAGTTCGAGAGTTCGTAGTTTGTTGCTGCTCGTGATTGGCGACTTGCGGTTGGGGTGGCAGCTGAACACCGGCCTTGACGATGCCACCCGCCGTAGCCATGGCGTTTGTTTCGTCATTAGAGTCTACCTGCACTAAGGAATCCATCTTGGCAGGGGCAGCCGGGGATATACCACCTCCAGCTCCACCACCAGTGGACATCCCGACGCTGTTGGTTTTGTCTTTAGCTGCAGAGAGTTGTTGGTGGTGGTGGCTGAGTTTCAACACGGTCATACTAACTGCCGGGGGTTCCTCAAGCATGGAGCAGTCTCAAACACTATCTCACAGTTCTCTTCTTTTAACTCAAAGCTATGTCTCTGTAACTTGCCACAGTTTCGTGAGGACAGTGGCAGCTGTGGGGCTGTCCATAGCAACCAAGGCTATCCATACACACAACCGCCTTCTACCTGACACACTTCACTCATGTTTAAATGATATTATTAAAATTATTTCTGCGCCGTTTATACCTGGCCTAGATATACATTTTATAAAAATATACGAACGCACTTGTACCCACAGTCACTGAAATTACTTTTTGTCCCCCGTCGGGGTGGGGGTTATCGTGCAAGAACCCTTTTCTCCTCTCCCTGAGCACTGCGCCCAGAGTTAGCACGGGACATAAGCAACCTACACGGGAGAGGCCTAACCCAGTACTGGCGGAGGGACGTGAGCTCCGGCAGCCAGTGCGGCGGAGCGAGTGACGCGTCCTATGCTAGGAAAGAGACAGAGCAAAGGGGCGGGCCCAGTAGGCGGAGCCATACGAGCTTGTACCCCGCCTTTCAAATTCACTACGTTTTTAATGAGATTGACTCTTTAGAAGACGGTTTTACAGCCAATAGGGAGTCGACGGATTGTATCCGTGACGTCACAAAAACATCCCCTTCCTCGATTTCTGTCTCGCTTTTTATTGTTATTAGCTTTTTGTTCTTTCTTTTTCTGTTACGGCCCCTTCCCAGGCCCTCTTGTTAACTTGTTTGATAAATTACATATGGCCGTGGTGAAGTGGGTTCACTGTTACATCTGTGTAAAACGTTTATTTATGGTTTAATTATATAATGTATTGTTGTGGCAGTGGTGTTCCTATATAATAGTTCTATTTCGATGTACAAAGTACAAAGGACACGCTGTTATTCCACTCTGTTTGTGGACATCAATATGAACAGAGATTTATATCCACAGAATCTGCTACCAGCCTCATATTCGGGACACGAAGAGACCTCCATCAGCAGAATCCATGCAACACAATTCCAGTTCGTGTTAACGAGATAGCTAGGCTAATTATGTTCGTGGATTAAAAACCACAAATCTTCATCAAGTAAAAGAAAATAAATCTTCAGTAATAATTCAATTCACTTCAGTTCCCCTTCATTTGCGTGCTAACTCAACAGCCCAAAGGCCAACTACAAACTGAGACGAACGAACACACACAGAGTAAAAGCCACTAAAATTCATATAATCCGATGAATGATGATAATAAAACAGTAATAATAATAATAATAATAATAATAATAATAATAATAATAATAATAAACTCAAATAATAGATCTGAGAAAGTAAAGTATACCTACATATACAAGGATACAGTGTATATAATACAATGTGTACTCTGAAAGTAATGATAATAAATTAGCCATCTACTGAAGTTCTTGAAAACAGCAAAAAGATAAATTACAGGCAAACACTGGAGAAAGAAAACAAATTAATAGAGAAAAAGTGAAAAAACAAAATAAAAATGAAGAGATATATGCAAAGAACAACGTAACTAGGAGCCGGGATAATTCGGTCCGTATAGCGACTGGCTACGGGCTGGACGACCGAGAGCTCGGAGTTCGAGTCCTGGATGGGTCAAGAATTTTCACTTTTCCATTTCGTCCAGACCGGCTCTGGGGTTCACCCAACCTCCAATACAATGGGTACCGGGAAGTCTTTCCCGGGGGTAAAGCGGCCGGAGNGGGAATAAAGCGGCCGGGGCATGAAACTGACCACTTACCTTCAACTAGTACCGAGATCAAGAAAATGTGGATCTATGTAGCCACTTCCCCATAGGTCTTTAAGGTGTAATGCTTAATTAGTTAAGCACAGGGACAAATTTACTGTTTTATATAATAACTAAGAACAAATATTATTAATAATTTTAGGTAGAAGTTTATAAAACATGATTGAGTGAAACCGCCCCGATTACAAGTAGGTTGAGATCTTCAGTGGACGTGATGGAATTCAAAACTACCAAGGCATATTCGCTTTAATAATAATAATAATAACAATGTCTTAATACGGAGCCATATTAAGACAACTTAATTCAAGAAAGTAGTTTTTCAAGTAAGTCGCCAGATGATGACCTAGGAAAGGTCGAAACATGTAGCGTATAACTTCGCATAATAACTAAACAATTGTGATACAGCAGTATCTATTTTGTCTTCCTGTTAAAAATATTTTTTATTTTGTGCTGACGTCCTAATTTACACGATTATCGAGAACACAACAGGATGCAAACCATAAAGATTCTTTCTCAAACTCTGTTGGTTTTCATATTGTCATCCAAGTTTTCTAGTTCCTTCAGAAGCATCTGAAATCATAGCTTGGTACTATTCTTAGCTTCTTGTAATTAAATCCTTCCATATAAATCTTCGTGTCTCTTGCCCACTTCCTAAAAAGTCCATCTTCCTTCTGGAACCTCTAGATTGGGCCCAGGGTCACAGTCAATTGTCTGTGTGTGTATGTGTGTGAGAGTGTGTGTCTGTGTGTGTGAGAGAGAGAGGGAGAGAGAGAGAGACAGACTGTACGTTTAGAAGGTGTCAGCATCCATGGTTAAATCTCCTTGTGTAAAAATCAGCGTAGATAACTTATTATTTAATTCGGTATAAAATGAATTAAAGTATTTATGTGTCAGACTGTAATATGGTCTAACGTTTGGTAAATATGAAAACAGAAGAAGCACCAATAAATAGTAACATAAATATCTTCATAAAGCTGACTTCATATCCGTCTGTGAATCTCTTAAAATAATAGAAAAAAAGGCTTATGTTTGGTATAAAATGAAATCAATTAAATAAAATTGCCAACACTTACGCCACGAAGGAATGTTACCACGTCACGTATGGTACTGAATTGTCCACTAGGACGTAGCTCAAAGCTCCAGAACGTGGAATGATCCCAGTTATGCTTCATGAGTTGGGCAAATATCTCAACAAAATCTGTAAATTCTATTTCTGTTCTGTGGAAGCTTTGGGGTCACCGTCCGGCTCCTTCTCCCTCAAACCCTGCCCTGGTGTACGGTAAGCCTCCAGTATCAGACACAGAGGGGTCTGTCCTCAGAAAACACTGCAGTGTTTCAGTTTAGCCAGAAACTATTGAGAAACGCTGTTTCAGAGTCTGAGATCGATCAGAATTAGCTCTATAGGCCTACTAAAAATAACGTACTGCAGAGCGTGCCCTCACGTTAGACTATTAAGGTTACATGTACAGTCATGTTATACAGAATTCTAAATATAATCAGGCCTGCATTTAGACTGCGTTAATAGTGAAAGAAATGAATTTACTCAGGGGAGATCTATTCTGCAGGCTTAACGTCATAAAAGGCAGAATAAATTTCTGGTGTTCGCGGCACTATTTGCCTGACAGGTTTGACTCGTTGGCTAGTTAGTTCCTTATTTCGCTAGATAATTACTCAGTGACCTAGATACTTAGTTAGCCAGTTAGCTATCTAGGTAATTATTTTCTTATTAAGTGAGTCGGACAGTTGAGTATTGTCACGGTTTAATGTTGTGTCTATATACGGAGTTTGGATTGGTGAATTGGAATTATTGACCACTTGTACACACCATACGGAACTACAAGTAGCCTAATTACGGCGCCACTGCTAATCTGCACAACTGACACGTCACAAAGGCACCCGCTAAGCCCTTCTTCAGCCTTCTGTGTCTTCAACAGCCTTTCCCTAACAACGGTTTCTTCAGCTTCCCGCTCTCACGTCGTTACGGTCAGGCGAATATCCCGTAAGTGAACTGTTTTCTTCACAGACGGACTTTCAGCTCTCAACTGAACTGCATCGACATCTCTTGTCAGCCTCCCTTGTAAAGCTAAAATCTTCAACTGAACTCAGCCGGCCTGGGGTCCATGTTATATAGCCTCGGGGCGGACCCAATAGAAAATAACAACCTCCAACAGTTCTTCTATTGTTATTAGGGCGGATGCCTAGCATGTTAATCGGACGCTATCAAGAAACGCATCTTTCTTCTAGCGATCGCTGCATAGCAACGGTACCACACGTTACAGTATCTTGTTGGTTAGGTAGTTAGCCAGCTAGAAAGTTAGAGAGGTAGAGAGGTAAAAAGTGGAGATATCGTAAAATATCTGGTGCAATAAGTATAACTGATGGATACTTATAACATGATAAAGTCCTAAGCTGAAGACAATATGGGGCACAAGTTACCACAGACAGTTTTCAACCTATCTAGTTTCTCGAATAGAACTATTAAAACTTATCAGTACCAATGCCTCGTAATTCCAAATGCACTCCCTATTGGTAAATATTTCTAATAAGCCTACTTGTTCATTGCAGGGTGAAAGCCCTGCTATGGAGCCTGTATAGCTCAGTCAACATAGTGACCATGCTAAGGGTTGGACAATACCGGGGTTGCCATTAAATTACCTTATAATGAAAGATTTTCTCCTTCTCCCTTGCGTTCAGACTTGTTCTGGGGCACACCCAGCTTCCTATCTCCAGTGATAAAGCGGCCAGCGCGTGAAGCTGACCACTCACCCCTATGTTAAATGTGCGGATTTATACCAAATCTCTCTCATGAGACATTATGGCGGGGTGCTTAATTAAGCAGATGGACAATTTTATGTTTTACCCAGTGCTCCGGCCACACTGCTCAGATCTCTGTACAAAATGTTGCGGGTAACAGTAACCACTGACAGAGCGTGGCTACCCGGCACAGATGAGTGCAGAAGATAGCAAGAACTGTTTACTGAAGAAACAAAGCTGAGGGCGCCAACTATGGTTAAGCTTTCATCTCTTGTTAGCTGCTAGTCCAGTCTGGAACACATTTATTATTCTTTATCGGTTAATGTGGAATGTTCTAGTACCTGAATGCCACCCGCTGTCCGACATAGTTCGGTGTCCGACTCCTGCACACCCTCGATTCAGATCGTCAGATAGGAGTCCACTGTTCGAAGTTAAATTCTTGAACTACGCAGTTGAAAGTAACGACACGGAATCAGTTTAACGAACTGCAATAATAACGAGAAGAACAATATCTCCTGAGATGTGGGTCCGTATACTTTCGTTGTAGTTTATCGACGTTTTGAAAGACTGCACTGCCTCCACCTTCAGCTCAGTAAGATTAATTTACTCTTTGCTTCTTCCCTGTTGCTTTTTATCATGTTTCTGATCCCTGAAGATGAACAGTACGTTCCTCCGAAACGTCTGAGAACTTCTTTCTATCATGTCACACGTCAGATAATACTCTTCATTGACACCAACTTGAGAACCTCGATCCGATGTACCGGGAATCGACCGAAGATATTTCGATTGTCCAGGCCCGTAACCCAGTCGCTGTACCAACTGAGCTATCGTGTCTGGTTATTAAACTGCATTAAAATCGGAAAGGAAGCAGAAACCTAACGGATG